AGCAAGGAGATGGCTTGCCATTGCTTTTCTCTGAATTCAGCATATATCACCATTTGGCTAACTAACCAGATCCAATTCAGCTTTGTTTCTGAGATTAGATGTGATGTAGCACCTTACAACACTTCCAATAATGGGCTGTCTTCTCCAAAGGAAGTTTATGACAACCCTAGAGTCTACTCATTGCTCTAATCACAGAATACCAATTACTGATATTCAACCTTTCATGTAGTTTTGCCGATATCTGGAAGAAAGACCCGATAATCAGAGAAATTCATTTCTGAGAAAATTTGCATAGTTGTTGTCATTACAATGCTATCAGTACTGACTTCTAATGCCGTCTTGCTTTTTTTTTTTTGCATCATTGGCCAATATAACACATTACGAACACTAGTTTAGTCCTTGGAAATGTCCCTATGTAATGACAACTGGGAAGGAGAAGGTAGTACAAACATCATTTCACCTTGTTTCATGTTTCAGTGAAACAATGGAATGCACAAGAAAAGCTGCAATTGGTGTGCATTATGTTTGGAATCTTTGCGAAGTACAGATTCTTACACGTCGCAAAACTAATTTAACTTACAATTGGATTTTAACAAAAATCAAGATATAACCTGATCAGATCAATAGCATTATTCTTTTGTGGTCAAAATCCAACTGAAGTCATTTCCTGTTGTTGTGGTATATTCGTTCAGTCTCTTTGTGACCTCATGATCCAGCCCAAGCCAGAACTCCCTGTTGGCTGTGGCCACCCCCAGCTCCTTCAGAGTCAAGCCAGTCACTTCAAGGATACCATCCATTCATCTTGCCCTTGGTTGGTCCCTCTTTCTTTTTCCTTCCATTTTCCCCCACATCATTGTCTTCTCTAAGCTTTCCTGTCTTGTCAGGATGTGGCCAAAGTACTTCATCTTTGCCTTTAATATCCTTCCCTCCAAAGAGCAGTCGGGCTTTATTTCCTGAAGTATGGACTAGTTTGATCTTCTTGCGGTCCAAGATACTTTCAGAATTTTCCTCCAGCTTCACAGTTCAAAAGTGTCTATCTTCCTTCACTCAGCTTTCCTTATGATCCAGCTCTCACATCCATAGGTTACTATGGGGAATACCATTGCTTTAACTATGCGGATCTTTGTTGCCAGAGTGATGTCTCTACTCTTCACTATTTTATTGAGACTGGTCATTGCTCTTGTCCCAAGAAGTAAACATCTTCTGATTTCTTGGCTGGAGGTTGTATCTGCAGTAATCTTTGCGCCTAGAAATAAAAAGTCTGTCACTGCCTCCACGTTTTCTAGTTATTTCCTAGGTAGTGGTTAATAATATATTTGTCTATTACTGCATTTCTGTTCTTGTGGGAGTGATTTATGCTCCCCCTTTACAGCTGGACAGATTGATTGCTGATAGTCTTCAGATATGGGAACTATTGGATCTTTAGTCTATCTTCAGGAAATTCACATAGATGTTCACTTCTAGCAATTTGGTCACTTAACATAGTATTGGGTGCATCTATTTTAATATACAGTAATAGCAGATTACTATCAGTATTTTTAACCACTATTATAATGATAGTGAGTTATCAGAGAAAGAGATTACACATCTGTTTAAACTGAATAATCATGTGTTGGAAATTCCTGGGTGGTATACATCTAGCACAGATGGCTTTCATAGCATTACATCCATGCCAAGGCTTAGGCTTCCTCCAAACATGGTTTGGTCAAATGTTTGCAAACTCATTGTGAGTGTTGATGAATTCTGCATTTTGAACAGGCTCTCTGGTTATACAGAATTATTCTACCTTTTCCAGAGAATTGCTACAAACCCATATCCCTGCACAGCAAGCCAATGTCCCATTGCTTTCAATAGTTTGACTGCAATCTTGCACCTACTTAATCATATCAAAATGTTTGAGCTTGAATATCTCAGGTGATACATTTACTGTGTGCCACAAAGTTATTTAAAAAGCATACACATAATGATGATGAATGAATATATACGTCCTGAGTTGGAAATTCTGCAGAAAAATCACCATTTGTTACTATTGTTATATTAATGCAGCAATTTTGTGAGGGTGTACTTTATGCGTTCTCCTTTTAGAAAGTATTACATAGGTCCAATACAGCATAGAATCATAGAATCAAAGAGTTGGAAGAGACCTCATGGGCCATCCAGTCCAACCCCCTGCCAAGAAGCAGGAATATTGCATTCAAATCACCCCTGACAGATGGCCATCCAGCCTCTGTTTAAAAGCTTCCAAAGAAGGAGCCTCCACCACACTCCGGGGCAGAGAGTTCCACTGCTGAACGGCTCTCACAGTCAGGAAGTTCTTCCTCATGTTCATATGGAATCTCCTCTCTTGTAGTTTGAAGCCATTGTTCCGCGTCCTAGTCTCCAAGGAAGCAGAAAACAAGCTTGCTCCCTCCTCCCTGTGGCTTCCTCTCACATATTTATACATGGCTATCATATCTCCTCTCAGCCTTCTCTTCTTCAGGCTACACATGCCCAGTTCCCTAAGCCGCTCCTCATAGGGCTTGTTCTCCAGACCCTTGATCATTTTAGTCGCCCTCCTCTGGACACATTCCAGCTTGTCAATATCTCTCTTGAATTGTGGTGCCCAGAATTGGACACAATATTCCAGGTGTGGTCTAACCAAAGCAGAATAGAGGGGTAGCATTACTTCCTTAGATCTAGACACTATGCTCCTATTGATGCAGGCCAAAATCCCATTGGTTTTTTTTTGCCGCCACATCACATTGTTGGCTCATGTTTAACTTGTTGTCCACGAGGACTCCAAGATCTTTTTCACACGTACTGCTCTCGAGCCAGGCGTCCCCCATTCTGTATCTTTGCATTTCGTTTTTCCTGCCAAAGTGGAGTATCTTGCATTTGTCACTGTTGAACTTCATTTTGTTAGTTTTGGCCCATCTCTCTAATCTGTCAAGATCGTTTTGAATTCTGCTCCTGTCCTCTGGAGTATTGGCTATCCCTCCCAATTTGGTGTTGTCTGCAAACTTGATGATCATGCCTTCTAGCCCTTCATCTAAGTCATTAATAAAGATGTTGAACAGGACCGGGCCCAGGACGGAACCCTGCGGCACTCCGCTCGTCACTTCTTTCCAGGATGAAGAGGAAGCATTGGTGAGCACTCTCTGTGTTCGTCCACTTAACCAATTACAGATCCACCTCACCGTAGTTTTGCCTAGCCCACTTTGGACTAGTTTCCTTGCCAGAAGGTCATGGGGGACCTTGTCGAAGGCCTTACTGAAATCCAGGTACGCTACATCCACGGCATTCCCCGCATCTACCCAGCTTGTAGCTCTATCGACAGAAAGAGATCAGATTAGTCTGGCATGACTTGTTTTTGATAAATCCATGTTGACTATTAGCAATGACTGCATTTGTTTCTAAGTGTTTGCAGACCGCTTCCTTACAATCTTTTCCAGAATCTTGCCCGGTATCGACGTGAGGCTGACCAGATGGTAGTTGTTTGGGTCATCCTTTTTTCCCTTCTTGAAGATTGGGACCACATTGGCCCTCCTCCAATCTGCTGGAACTTCTCCCGTTCTCCAAGAACTCTCAAAGATGGTTGCCATTGGTTCCGAAATGACTTCCGCTAGTTCCTTCAATACTCTTGGGTGTAGTTGATCTGGCCCTGGGGACTTGAACTCATTAAGAGTGGCCAGGTATTCCTGGACGACTTCTTTCCCAATTTGGGGTTGGATGTCCTCCAATCCCTCATCTACTCCATCTTGCTGATAAGCATATTACTTATCAGATAGGTCTAGCTGTTCCATCTGTTCTCTCCCTCCCTCTCTGCCTCAAAAACAAGCTGAAGTTGAGTGTTTAGAAAACTTACTATGACTAGAATCCAATTGGTTAGATCCAACTGGAATAGATTGATTCAATCAACTGTTGAATGATGAGACAACATATAGGTAAAGCAAATTGATTATACATGTCTAGTCTATTCAAAATGAACAGTAGGATTTAGGACAAGGAAGTCCTAAATTGCCCATTGCTCTTACTACTGCATTTTGGGTCCATTTTTTGTGTGCCAGTAGCGACTTGAGAAACTGCAAGTCACTTCTGGTGTGAGAGAATTGGCCTTCTGCAAGGACGTTGCCCAGGGGACACCCATATGTTTTACAATCCTGTGGGGGACGCATGAGAAGCTGGAGGTGACAGATGTGAGCTCATCCCTCTCCCCGGATTCACACCGTCAAGCTTTTGGTCATCAGCCCTGCTGGCACAGGGGCTTAACCCATTGCACCACAGGGGGCTCAGTAATTACTTATTACATTAATTCTATATAGTTTAGTACTTAATCTTGCTTCATGGGCTTTAATAAACCTGAATTTCCATTTGGGGAAAGAAGAAAAGAGAGAAAATAACCCATATTTTCAGTTCTCCTCAATTCTGTCCCATAATAGGTTTATCCCTAAAAACACCCTACAACAAACAAATGAATGTTACGTATTAAATGACAAAGGTAATGATGTTAGTAGTTGCTATGTCATTTTGCTATTTTGCACAAAAAAACCCATTGTAATGCCTTCCCTACCATTATCTATACCAGGGGTCCTCAAACTAAGGCCCGGGGGCGGCCCTCCAAGGTCATTTACCCGGCCCTCGCTCTGGGTCAACCTAAGTATGAAACTACTTGAAAGCACACAATAACAACAATAATCCTATCTCATCAGCCAAAAGCAGACCCACACTTTCCATTGACATACTAATAAGTTTACATTTGTTAAAATTGTTCTTAATTTTAATTATTGTATTGTTTTTAAATGTTTTTTGCACTACAAATAAGGTATTTTCAGTGTGCATAGGAATTAATTCATTTTTTTATTATAATTCGGCCCGCCAACAGTTTGAGGGACTGTGACCTGGCCCTCTGTTTAAAAAGTTTGTGGACCCCTGATCTATACCATTGTTTGAATGGTTTCATTTTCAGTATATGTTGATGTAACATAAGTGACTAACACGATGTGGTTTTTTTGTCTTTGCAGGTGTAGTGTTTCACTATCGTGCTTCAACTAGTAGATACACCCTGAATTTCCAGCAGGCAGAAGAGGCATGTTTGGAAAATGGTGCAGTTATAGCAAGCCCTGAACAGCTGACAGCTGCATATGAAGATGGATTTGAGCAGTGTGATGCTGGTTGGTTGTCTGACCAAAGTGTTAGGTGAGATGATCAATGTGTTTTATAAAACTAAGTATCATAATTTAAATAACTTTTTCTATATCTCCAGTACTTGACTTTCACTAATTGCCATTCACTTATTGAACTGCAGATACCCCATCATATACCCAAGACCTGGCTGCTATGGGGATATGATGGGAAAGGAAGGAGTCCGGACCTATGGATATCGTCTTCCCAATGAAACTTATGATGTCTATTGCTATGTGGGGAGCTTGAATGGTAAGTAATACCCTTATTTTAAAGCTCTGTCTATGATGGTTGAAATAGACTCACAGCACTATAGTTAAAATGTTGTTGTTGTTGTTGTTGTTGTTGTTGTTGTTGTTGTTGTTGTTGTTGTTGTGTGCCTTCAGGTTATTTCTGACTTCTGATGACTCTCAAACCTAACATTGCCTTCCTCTTGGAGAGTGTAATTGCCCAAATTCATGCAGTGGGTTTCCATAATCAAATGGGATTTGAACCCTCGTCTCTATAGTCACAATTCAGCACTAAAACTACTATTGGCTCTTACAGTTAAAATGTAAATTGGTTTTTTTTAGGACAACAAAGGTGGCATTTAACTTTTTTTAAAATTCTAAGCTTTCTGTGGTAGCTCTGCCTATTTATCCTTTCCCCTGTAAAGTAGAGATTTGTGTATTTTCCTATATACATATCTTGATCCAATGTTAAGAGCTTCTTTATAATTACAACCCTGGTAATAGTGATGCTAAAGTAGGAGGTTCTCCAGCTGGGTATTTTAGTATGTGTGAGGATGGGGGAATATTGAACAGATACAACCAATAATGGGGAAAATACTGTACAGTTTGGAATTGCCCCTCATGCTTTTAGGCTACAGTCCGAAACACACTTACTGCTAGTAAATAAGCTTCATTGAACACAGAGATGTTCAAAAGCACTCTTATTTGTAAATAGAGTTGATAAGAAAAAGTAATGATTTTGGCATTTTAAATTCCTCTGCGAGATTCTCATTTTACTTTATTAATCAATCTTGATGCTACATTTTTTGCAAAAAAAATATCCCATTTTACTTCAATGACCAATCTTAAGGCCACATTTTTTTGCAAGAAGGGAAATCCAGAAGGGAAAGTCTACTATGCTCCTAGAACAGTGGTTCCCAACCCTTTTTGACCAGGGACCACTTTGACCAGGGACCACTCTCCAACATTAGTACCAAAAAGGTTACAAATCAGTTTTTGTTCAACTTTAGATTTGATTTGGGGTGCTGATTCAGAAAATTGCACTGGATAGACCACATCAGCTCTAGTTACTGATACAGATCATATGCCATGGTCAGTGACAGGGAAGAAGTAGCAGTTGGTGTGAAAGGAACAGAAATAAAATAAATGAATAAAGAGGAAGGAGGCTTGTGGACCAGATTTTTGGCCCACAGGAACCACTGTCCTAGAAGAAAGAAAGAAGTTAGAAAAATTCCTAGCACTGTTGTTATGTCATCATGGACAAATCATCATTCTTGCATGGGGCTATTCTTTTTTTGCCTGTGAAGTATGTTGGAAGAGAGATTTATACGTTGCAACCATAGTACTGAAGCAGATCAATTTTTCATAAAATATGATGCATTATAATTCAGAGGTCATTTCTGAGAGTGTTGACTTTTCTTATAAGAAATGGAAACATCAGACACCACTGAAAATAATTAGCTGTGCCATCAATATACTGCCAGGTTTGTAAAATGATGTGTGTGAACCATAGTTTCAGAGCATGTTCCATGATTGATTGCAGTGATGATCTAGTCACCATGTGGTATCTTGGTTGACGTGACTTGTGAATATTTGACCCCTAATAAAGTGTATATATTATTCTACAATAATGCACCCAGAGCTATAGTACAGTAAAATGTTGTATTGGACAGCATTATACCAGATGGCATTATTAAGAGGGTGGAGAGTATTTGGAAAAGAGTTTTATTGAAATATGTTTTGAATTTACTGTACTAATTAGATGCATCATAGTGAGGCATATGAAAATCAGTCATGATTTTAGCTTCTTCCATCCCCTTTTATAGTCAATTTCAGCATTCATTTACTTGGAATTAATTCTTTGTATGAGTTTGTTGGGTCCTACCCATAAATACATGGTTGTAGTGGTGTGATTTCAGCCCTTTAAAATGAAATTGGCATATTTTCACAGAAACACTGGAGATTTTCAAAGATAGGAACCCCCCACCCCATCATAGAGAATATTTCTTGTTCCAGAATTATGTCTTTCTAACGTTTTATGCTGAAATTTTCATGTGGTTTGCTTGTAAGTGATTATATATTTGGTCTGGTCTTTTGTATATTCTGTAGTAGTTGAAGAGATGGTCCAAAAACATTTAAATAAACAAACACTAGAGGTTGCCTGTCCTTTTTAAGTTATATCTACAACTTGAGTTCCCAGAACTCAAGACCTAGAATTTCAGAATGAGAGCATTGCCTTGTCAAATGTGTGTCTACATGATTTTATTTATTTATTTGTACATTTGTACCCTGTCCTTCTGACTCGCGGGGGGGGGGGGGGGGGCGACGACTCAGGGCAGCTTCACAACAAGCACTAATTTTAGTGCTAATCACAAACATAAAATACAATCAAAAGCAATTCATTTAAAAATACATTATATTAATACAAACATTTGTTTAAAATCACGCCAGTTTAAAATCAGTTTCTGGGTCACTCCATTGTCATTCATATCACATTAAATCATCCCAATTGCTGCTTCAATTGCTTAAACGCATAGTCCCATAACCAGGTCTTAAGTTTCTTTCTAAAATACAGGAGGGAGGGGGCCAATCTGATGTCAACGGGAAGGGAATTCCACAGGCGGCGGGGGGGGGGGGGGCACCACTGAGAAGTTCCTGTCTCTTGTCCCCATCAGTTGTGTTTGCGATGGCAGTGGTTACCAAGAGCATAGCCCCTCCAGCTGATCTTAAACTTTGTGATGGTTCATAATGGGAGATATGTTCGGACAGGTTTTCCCCCCTCATTTGTTAGAATTGATACTTTGTGCAACTGTAGCATGGGTTAATGACATATGCAGTGGTTGTCCTTTGTACATGACCCTTGTAACATCAGGGCCCATCCCCATGACAGCATCACAAGGATAGGTGGGGGAGGGGGGAGGGTAATCCCTAGGTTTCAAGTTGGTTTCAAAATCTCAAGGCCTGAGATATTCATGATCTGTCAACCCTATTTACAATATACAGTATACAATGAAATATAATGCAGCATTCAATATAATAGATATTTTTGACCTTACAACCTGTGGCCCTCCAGATATTTTGGACTTAAGTTCCCAGAATTCCTAACCATTGGACAAGCTGGCTAGGGCTCCTTGGAATTGGAGTCCCAAATACCTGGAGGGCCATAGGTTGTGCAGGCCTGATTTAGGGCATAGTAGTCTGTGACCAATGCTGTCATTCTAGTCAAAGAACTAATACACAATTCTACCTTCCCACTGCAACCTCTGTGAGAAGTGCAACTGGGAACCCCTTAATATAGGCAGGTAAAGGATAGTAACAAATATGATAAGATATCTCAATAAGACCTATCATTGAAGGGGGAAATGTCAACTACTGGGATTTTTTTAACATTTGAGGAACTTTTGTGAAAGCTTTGCAACTACCATGTTTTGAGGGGGCCCCGGTGGCGCAGTGGGTTAAACCCCTGTGCCGGCAGGACTGAAGACCGACAGGTCGCAGGTTCAAATCCGGGGAGAGGTGGATGTGTTCCCTCTATCAGCTCCAGCTCCTCATGCAGGGACATGAGGGAAGCCTCCCACAAGGATGATAAAACATCAAAATCATCCGGGCGTCCCCTGGGCAACGTCCTTGCAGACGGCCAATTCTCTCACACCAGAAGCGACTTGCAGTTTCTCAGGTCGCTCCTGACATGACAAAAAAACCAACCAACCATGTTTTGAGATTCCAGTTGAATTATTTCCACAAATTTGGTTTCTTCAAAGGCATATAAAAGGACAATGAGAAGTGTTGGTGATATGTTGGTTTAAAGACAACGATCAGATTGATAGACTACAACATTATTCTTAAAGAAATTTAACTTTACTCTTTACCCTTAAAATCTATGTAATCTGCAAAACATGGCTTTGATATTAGGTGGGCGTGAGTGGTAAATGTATATTTGATTTTTAAAGGATGCCTGCTTTCCATGTTTCACTGATGGTGCAGATATTAAGCCATGCCCACATCATATGCAATCAGAGAAGTGATAGAAAACTTATTTTATGAATGTCTAATGGAAAATTCTAACATGTAATTTCCCAGGCTGTACCTTTATGCCTTTTGGTCAAGAAAAGCAATACAAATCCAGATATTTTGGTATATTTTCTATATTTTAAAAATACTGGTACATGAGCATTCATAACTACTAGCCACCAGGGAGCAATTTATTTACATTGATCTACGATTACAGAATAGCCCAGTGATAAATTTGTACCATCAATAATTCTGAAGCGACCATAGCTTTGGGTTGTCAAACCCTTTACCTAGCAAAGAATTCTTACTGAATTTTCAGGGATATTACTTCTTAGCACAGGGTATCATTATTAAATGGTAAACTTTAAGTTACTTGTGCTGGTGTTCTCCATTTACTTAAAATGTTTCATATCCTCCAACAGTTCACTGGGACATTTATGGCCAAGCAAACCCATGGCATGCTCAAGATGGCAAAAACTTTAGAACAAGCAATGCACAAGCTAGGAGAAGCTGCAATAGTTTGTGTCTGCCTGAGCCTACTGAGAAGGGCAACAACCTGCCCTATGCTCTTCTCCCTCCCTGAGTTAATTGACCATTGGGTACTTTTGCACTTTGAAATGAGTTTGAAGTAACTGAACTAAGTTGAGGAAAAATGGAAAGAACATTTAATTTATCATTGCAAATAGTACTCTACATTACTTTATTCTTTGCCTTCTTTCTCTTGCAACAAAATATCGGGCCTGAACTTCAGGAGAAAGAATATTCACTGATAATGTCCCTTGAGTCCAAACTTTTGGGCAAGAGAGACAGTAGAGAATCCTTCTCCGACCCTCCTTTAAAACTAGAAAGTTTGGCTGCCAACTCTATTTTACTGTAGTTAACAGCAATAAAAAGAAGCTTAGTCAGGTGCTTTTAAAACTGAGCAGTGCAAATACACAGAGCAGGACAATCTGGAGATTCTTAGAGTGCTTTGACTTTGGGGCTGAGGCAATCAACCCAAACCTGGGGCCA